AAAACATATTCATGAGATGGTCAACTTGTAACTGGGAATATTTGGGTTTCATGTATTCTGTTACTGGTTTATAAGTTGAATTACTTTTTTTATTCCGTGTCGATAGTTTGTGCTCTTTCAAAGAGTTCAATTAAAATGTACTTGTTGGGGAAGTGTGTTTCCCTATGGACACTTGGCCAATGTTCACTGTAAGTTAACCATCACTACATTTTTGTGATTTCTGTTTTGGTGATCACTATCTAATATCTAGATTAAATTAGGGTATAACAGGAATTTAATATTTGATACTCTTATTGGACAAAGAGCCGTTTTAGTTTGTGAAACGGTAACCAAGCCCACCTTTGTGGCACTGAGTGTTGGGTGACAAGAATTGGCCCACCTTTATGTGGATGGAGAGAGTATTTGATATCATTATAACGAGAATTGTTATAATAATTTCACAAGCCTCTCTATTTAAGTGTTCTTTTGTTTTGTAATGGAAGTTGAATCTATAAATACCAAATTTCATGATATATATTTCCAATATTGCAGCACAATGTGTCCAATGGGTCAACGTGTTAGATGGATATGCTGATGATGGCAAGGCCTGCAAATGATGGTTTCACAACCTTTCTAAATGCCGGCTGGAAATGGATGATGGGATCCCTTCCCGTTGATGTATTGGGCGCGTAATGCACTAAAAAAACTTCGTTCTTGCCATCATTTGAACTTGGAAGTCTTATTATTTGAGTTCTTTTAAAAACGTTGTGTAGTAGTTTGACCAATTATGATGGTGATTAGGAGAATGTTGCGGTGGATGTAAATCGCCAAAATTTCTCTACCATTTTCTAAGTTATAAAAGAGCTTGCTGTAGGATTTTTGCTCATCATTTGGCTAGTGAGAAGCAAGATTAGGGTTGGAACCGGTAAGTGTGCCACCAGTGGTTGTTTGGGTAGTTTAGTGTATTCGGTGTTTCGACATTGTATTATGGTAGTGTACAGAGTTTTGATTTAGTGGGTTTCATCGGATTTGATTTTTGGTTTTATGTTTTCAAAAATGTTGTAGTAGGCTTGTCGATTTCGTTTTGGGAAAATAGTAACTTTGTGCTTGGTGAAATGTAGTTGGTTCCTGTTAGCTCAGTAACAGACTTGGGCTCTGTTGATATTATTGAATTTTTTTAAATCTTGCGCTTCATAAATTATCACAAACGGGATGGCTTCGAAAGTGAAACACATATCCTTTATTGAATTGTAGCAAACTGGCATATACTCCTCCAGACAAGAAAATCCAAATATTTAAGCATCAAACGAAAAACGGAATCTCATAAGTTGTCGTGGACAAAAGCAACTCCCTTATCGATAGAACTTTTCAAAACCGATGGGTACTTTAAGGAAAATTTCATGGCAACTTGGAAGCTCGCGTAATTCCAAAAAGATATTATATCGCGCGTGTTATCTATTAATAATCAATTGTTTCTGGCTCTTATTTATAGTTATGGAGTAAGAAATCATAATGGGAAACTGCGACGCTAGAACTTGAAAGGAATTCTAACATCAGAAGGAAATATAGTCATTCCTGGAATCAACACTTTATCATCGTCAGTGAGTATCTTACACTTGAGAACGTGAGTGGAGAACTTTGTCACAACCAATCGTGTCCTATTACACAGACCCATAGAGGATATATAGTTACAAAATATCAAGTTAAAAAAGATCGGATAAGCTTAAGAAATAAGATCATGCTTATCAATCCTATTATTCAAACTCTTATCCGAGTAGTTACTTGTTTTCTAGATATATATTTGTAACAACCATTAGTAGTTTGGATATTGTAGATTATATAGACCGATAAAATACTGGTATAAAATATAAATTCAAAATTGATTTACGTCAGATTTTTAAGTTGAGTAGGATTTATTTTTCTAAATAATGTGATTACGATTGACTTCAAAAAATATGTTTATCCGTTTTTGTTAAAACAAAAACAAAAACAAAAAATGTGCAACGTGTTACATGTGTCTCGGATTTGTCGATTATTGAAAATTATGTGTCATATCAATGTGACATAATGTTTATCAAAATTAATAGAGTTTGTTACAATTTAATTTGGTAAGACTTTTTGGATTGATTGAAAAATAATATTTTTATTTTGATATGTATTATTTATCAAATCTCTCAAGATTTTTTCTGCAATATTTAACTCCAAACAATCCAAAAAAATTGTGAAATTTGTTACCAAAAGAAATCCCAAAGATTATCGACAATATATTGTGTGTAAATAACTATAAAATCTGTTACCAAAAAAATCGATATTTTAAAAGATTTGTTATCAAAATCCGAGATTTGTTATCACAATCTGATCAAATTTGTTAACAAAATTCGAGATTTGTTATCAAAACCTGATCAAATTTTTTACCAAAATTCAATTAAATTGGTTGACATGTAGGCCCATTGATATTGCTTATATTAGTAAGTCAACAATTAATTTTTTATTTTGAGCATTATGTGTCATATCAATGTGACATAATGTTTACCAAAATTAATGGAGTTTGTTACAATTTAATTTGGTAAGGCTTTTTTGATTGATTGAAAAATAATATTTTTATTTTGATATGTATCATTTATCAAATCTCGAGATTTTTTCTGCAATATTTAACTCCAAACAATCTGAAAAAATTCTGAAATTTGTTACCAAAAGAAATTCCAAAGATTATCGACAAAGTATTGTGTATAAATAACTATGAAGTGTGTTACAAAAAAAAACCGATATTTTAAATGATTTGTTATCAAAATCCGAGATTTGTTATTACAATCCGAGATTTTTTACCACAATCAGATATAATTTGTTAACAAATTCGAGATTTGTTATCTAAATAAGATTAAATTTATTACTAAAATTCGAGATTTGTTATCAAAATTTGATCAAATTTGTTACCAAAATCCGATTAAATTGATTGACATGTGGGCCCATTGATATTGCTTATATTAGTAAGTCAACAAATTTTGAACATTATATGTCATATCAATGTGACATAATGTTTACCAAAATTAATGGAGTTCATTACAATTTAATTTGGTAAGACTTTTTAGATTGATTGAAAAATAATATTTTTATTTTGATATGCATCATTTATCAAATCTTGAGATTTTTTCTGCAATATTTAACTCCAAACAATCAAAAAAATTGTGAAATTTGTTACCAAAAGAAATTCCAAAGATTATCGGCAATATATTGTGTGTAAATAACTATGAAGTGTTTTACCAAAAAAAAGAAAATCGATACCATAAAAGATTTGTTATCAAATTCGATATTTGTTATCACAATCCGAGATTTGTTGTCTCAATTAGATCAATTTTGTTAACAAAATCCGAGATTTGTCATCAAATTAAGATCAAATTTGTTATCAAAATCCGAGATTTGTTATCAAAATCGGATCAAATATGTTACCAAAGTCCGATTAAATTGGTTGATATGTGGGGCCCATTGATATTGTTTATATTAGTAAGTCAACAATTAATTTTTTAAGTCAAAGTTACTATTTTTGTATTTTTCTAATAACCTTTTTATATTACTATAGATTTAACCGAATAGAAACTAAATTCCTACCTCTAAAGTCAAAATATTTTTAAAAAATATTTGAATAATTCCATTTGAGACTCATGTTTAAATGTGAAATCACAAAATGAAGTCAATCTCACATTAAGAATTCCGCATGACTCTAGATCATAAATTTAAAATTTAAAGATTACTATTAAATATGGATATTTAATTAAACATAGAATTGTTTTCTCATAGTAGTTCAATTAAAAGATAATGATATTTTAAAAAATTGTAGTTTACACTTTAAATGATCTTTTAAAAATTGTCCTTTTAATTGAACCACTATAGAAAACAATTCTATATTTAATTAAATATCTATATTGTTTCTCTTCTTTTTATTTTTCTTTTTATTTTGTGTTGGAAGCTGATCTACGACTCATATTTTTTGAAAACTTTCTGGCGACTTTATTTTTATTCAAGATTCGAGCTTTTCATTCTGAATTTCTTCGAGCATACAATAGAAGAGTGAACACTTACTTTTAAGTTTCATTACTCCGTATTTCTTTTATTTTTACGTATGAAGTTTTTTAAGGTAAATGTAGTGTTTTGCTTGTTGAATGAGGGAAAAATTTGAATTTTTTTTTATTTGCATTGTTTGTCTAAGTGATTATAGGAGTTAAATACTTGATTATCTTGTAGTATTAAAGGTGGAGACTTGTGAGCAAAAATGACGGCTAGGGCACGGTGGATAAAAATTGGGGGTTTTCCGAATTCGATCGAGAGAGAAAGATGTCCACACGTGTTACGAACTTGCGCAAATAATAACCACAAATCGAAAGTACGAGTAGCGTGCCAACTGCCAAAGCTCGAAAATATCTTTATGCAGTCCGTCACGCGTTCTCACTCGCTGTTGACGTGGCAGCACATCACCGCCTTTGATCACTGGCACCCAGCGCGTGAGATTAAAAGACGTGCGCCTCTCAATCGACACAAGCGTTTTAGAGAGAGAAAACAAGGATTTTTTTTTTTTTTTNTTTTTTTTTTTTTTTTTGTAGAGAGAGAAAGGTAGTGAGAGTTCGATCGAGCCCCAGCCCCCCGAGTTGCCTCCACACCCTCAAACCCTAATCGATTTTCCCCAATCTTTTATTTTTCGCCATTTTTTTTTCAATAATAATTTCCTTCGAATCGATCGATATGAACCCTAATTCGTCTCCAGATCTTTAGCTTTTTCTCTGATTTGGGCTTTTTTCCTTGTGTTGTAACAGTCAGATCTCCCTATGTGTAAGGGTTCAGTCTTTCTGATTCGATCGAGTTACTGTCCTATACTTATTATCGGTGTCTTGGTTTGGACAATTGTTTTCTAAGATATCTTCGAAACCCTAGATTTATTGTGCGACAGGGTTATGTTAGGGTTCTTGACGGCTAATACTGCAGAAATTAGGGTTTTTTATCCCACAGATTCGTAAATTTACATGTTGTATGGCTTCAGAGACTTTAGGGAATTCCGGTGATGATTTGATTGCGAAAGCGAGGGACCGATGGACGGAGAAAAGCATAGTCTACACGCGGAGAAACCGCAAGAAAGCCCCCAAAACCTCCATTAATGACGATAATGCCCCCACCACGACAGCCTCTGTCCCTGAGAACCCATCGTCCGCTGTCCTCACAGCTTCGGCCAATTCCATCCCCGCCCAAACTGAGGTCTCTACTACCGTCTCCTCTGCTGATGCGTCCCTCTCTCCACCACCTGCCGCTGCCTGCTCTCCGGCCCAAGATTCCGGGAATGGTTTACTAATAAAGGAGAAAGAAAATGGCTCCTCTCTCCAGTCTCAACACGTGCAAGAACAGCCACAACATGGGCTGTCAGATGCCAATGAAGATTCTCGGATTCAAACTCCCGAGCCGCTTAATTTAGAGCGTTTGCCATCGTCTGATGCCAACAAATCTCAAAATTTAGAAAATATACAGCCGAATGGAAACGAGGATTTGGGCTTGCCTCAAACGCCCCAAGTTAAGGGAAATGGCGTCGCGAAGCCTCTCGTTTTATGCACGGTTGATGATAGGATAAGGTTCAAGTTAAGCAAGGTTACGGCAAAGGATGATATCAAGGATTTTAGGAGAACGCTGCTTAGCGAACTCGAACAGGTTTCCAGGCTTGTTAAGGAGCTTGAGGCCAGGGAACTTCAGATTGCGCCGAACAACATTCAGATTAGCAATAATGATGTGAGTAACGTTAGTAATTATGGTTACAGGTATCCTCAAACCCAGCTAGCCCGGAATGAAGTGGCTGACCGGAGGCTGCTGGTGAGAGTGAATTCAGAGGTGGGTCCTCTCGAGAACCCTGAGCCAAGACACGTGGGACTGTCAAGAGTGAATTCTGACATGGGTGCTGCCCGGATTATTGAGCCGAGGCTTTACAACCGGCAATTGAGTGTGGCTGTTATGGAAAACAATAACAGAGGGAGTGAGTTTGTCGAGAAGGAGAAGCGCACGCCAAAGGCAAACCAGTTTTACAGAAATTCTGAATTCCTCCTTGGGAAGGACAGGCTGCCACCTGAGAACAACAAGAGGCTGAAGACAGGCAATGGGAGAAAAGAGCATGGCTTTGGTTTTGGGTTCGAAAAGAGCCGGAATCAGATGTTCAAGAACTGCAGCAGCCTTCTCCAGCGGCTAATGAAGCACAAGCACGGGTGGGTTTTCAATGAGCCGGTGGATGTAAAGGGCTTGGGACTGATCGATTATCATGACATCATTAAGCAACCCATGGATTTGGGCACAATCAAGTCTAGACTGTCTCAGAACAGGTATAAATCCCCACGGGATTTTGCGGAGGACGTCAGGCTTGTTTTCCGTAATGCTATGACTTACAATCCCAAGGGGCAGGATGTGCACTTCATGGCCGAGCAATTGTCCCAGATTTTTGAAGAGAGATGGGCTATTATTGAGGCCGAGTATAATTCGAATTGGAAACATCGCATGTACCATGATGGGAGGATGCAGGCCCCCTTTTCTAGAAAGGCTCCTCCTCAGAATCCCTATGGGCCTGGTTCGATATCTTTGTACATGCCTCCTGGGACACAATTGAGGGCTTTCGATAGGCCTGAGCTTGGTGTTTCGCCCATGTCTGTCGATTCTAAAGGTCAACGGCCTCATGCTGCGCGGACGCCTGTCCCAAAGAAACCAAAGGCGAAGGATCCAGATAAAAGGGACATGACTTACGAGGAGAAACAAAGGCTTAGCAACAACCTTCAGGGATTGCCTACCGAGAAGCTCGATGCTATTGTTCAGATCATTAAGAAGAGGAACACTGCACTCTCTCAACATGATGATGAGATCGAGGTGGACATTGACAGTGTTGATCCGGAAACACTTTGGGAGCTTGATAGGTTTGTCACTAACTACAAAAAGAGCTTGAGCAAGAACAAAAGGAAAGCTGAGCTTGCTCTTCAAGCGAGAACAGCTTCCAATCAGAATGTTGTTTTGAAGGTAAGAACGTGAAGATGTCATTTTTAATTGCGTAATTATTTTATTCCAAAGGGATCTCTGTTTTTGGATCATTGTCTGATTTGAATTGTATTTTTACCATATTGCAGAACTCAGTCCCACCCGTACTGGATCAGATTGGACGTGGGTCAGGTATATCAATTTTATGCTAATTTCGGTGTTATGTATTGTCTCTTCTGGATTTTAACTTTCAATGAGCAAATGGCCTGACATTTAATTTTCTTACGGCCAAAGCTTTCGAAAGGAGTACTGGTCCGCCTGCTGATGGTGACAATCAGGTTAATAATGGAAGTAGATCTAGCAGCTCAAGTAGTTCGAGCAGTGATTCTGGATCATCTTCAAGCGGTAAATATTGATTTTTCCCATCTCTATTATTGTTTTGCAATTTGCTGTTTCACCAGACTGTTGGCCAATTTATGTGTTACATAAGTACATTTCTTATCCTTTTCTCTTTGTACATTTGGCGGTCTGACCCAACTTTATGTTACACATTCTAACGTTAATTATTTTATCCCTTGTAAACTTAAAAATCTTTTTTTTTTTTGGCACTGTTGGAAGATTATCACATGATTTTTCTTTTTTCTTTCATGAGCCCCTTTCAGTCCGATTGATGATTTGGACATGTAAATGTATAAGTAGGTTCTTTTTCTGTTAAGATTGTTGACTATCACCTTCAGTTGATTGATCCTCTTACATACTAAAAACCTGTGTTTCTTTTTTCCCACGGCATGACAAGTATCTCTTTTATTTCTGTATGTAAGGCCTAGATATATAATCAATCCATCACTTTTATCTCACCCTAATGCCCTTTTGTTTCGTCCATTGATTACTCACAGATTCAGACAGCGATAGTTCCTCTGCAGATGGATCAGATGGGGGGCATTCACCTAAGTCATAAAACAACGATAATAATGCAGGTAAAGGATCATTTTTTCATTCTTTTGGGCTTCTTCCTGTAGTCATTTGAAAGTTTTAGGGGATAGTCATTCGTTGAGTTCCATTACTTCTTGTATTCATTATTTATTTGTGCTAATTACTTCCTCCTTTTTGTTTTATTGGAACATTATGAGCGATTTCCTTCCATTATACTTCGGTTAGATTGTTGCCAATGTGTATGTGATTTTCGTGTGAAGTGAAGTTTTGTTGAATTTCAGGGAAGTTCACATGTTACTCTCTACTTAAGGTACAATTGGTCTCCTCATTTTAGAAGCCAATGAAGGATAGATATTGTAAAACCTTTGCACTTTTAACACTTACCAGTCACGTTGGCTTTACTTAGTGGGCTGGCAATTACTTGGAAGGTGAAAATGAAAGTGAAAAGAAAAGCACTATAGCAAAAAACCAGTATGACCATGTGTATCAGAATTCAGAACACGTCTGGTGTACATTAAGCGCTTAAATGGAATAAAGTTTGTTATTTTATGCATATGCTGTGCTGCATAGTTTGTACTCCCTCACATTCCAGCTGTCATCTTACATGTGTTGTTATGCAAGAAAATGCTCCAGTCTTGTCTTCATCAAGTTAGCTCTAAAATGCAACTAACTGAAATCATTATTGAGTGTAGTATTTTATTTCTTGGATAAACTTGTTTAACATTACAAATAGAGGTGATTGAATTAAAATGCCTGAAAAGTAAAATTGCAATTTGCATGGATGTTTGTAATGGTTATATAGCAATGTATTCCACACTTGGTTGGTGGACTGTTTGTACTGGGAATTTTATATTTTGATGTATTCTATTATTGGTTTAGAAGTTGAATTACTTTTTTTATTCCGTGTCGATAGTTTGTGCTCCTTCAAAGAGCTCAATTAAAATGTACTTTTGTTGGGAAAGTGTGTTTCCCTAATGGACACTTTGCCATTGTTCGCTGCAAGTTAACCATCACTACATTTTTGTGATTTGTTTGTTGTTGATGACTATCCAATTTCTAGATTAAATTATGGTATAACAGGAATTTGATATTTTGAGACTCCTATTGGTTAAAGAGGCCTGTTTTAGTTTCTTTGTGGCACGGAGTGTTGGGTAACAATCCTATCTTTATGTGGATGGAGGGAGTATTTGATATCTCATTATATCGAGAATTGTTACAATATTTTTTGATGGTTCCGTGTCAATGGATGACTTAAAGTGTTGCACTCACCGGAGTTGTGTGATACTTTAATGTTTCTCCGTCTCTTTGTTTCTTATGTGAAGAGCATGTGTCCCACTCCTCTATTTAAGCGCTCATTTGCTTTGTAATGGAAGTTGAATATTAAAAAGAATACCAAATTGCATGATATATATTTTCGATGTTGCAGCACAATGTGTCCAATGGGTCAACGTGTTGATGGATATGCTGATGATGCAAGGCCTGCTAATGATGGTTTCACAGCCGTTCTGAATGCCACCCGTTGATGTATTGGGCGCATAATGCACTAAAAAAACTTCCTTCTTGTCATCATTTGAACTGGAAGTCTTATTATTTGAGTTCGTTTAAATAGGTTGTGTAGTAGTTTGACCAATTATGATGGTGATGAGAGAATGTTGCAGTGGATGTAAATCGCCACAATTTCTCTTACCATTTTCTAAGTTATAAAAGAGCTTGCTGTAGGATTTTTGCTCGATCATTTGGCTAGTGACAAGCAAGTTTAGGGTTGAAACCAGTCTGTGGTTTGGGTAGTTTAGTGTATTCTGTGTTTTGACATTGTATTATGGTAGTGTACAGAGTTTTAATTTAGTGGGTGTCATCGGATTTTATTTTCGGTTTTATGTTTTCGGTTTTATGTTTTCAAAAATGTTGCGGGTTGGTAGCCTTGTCGATTTTACTTTGGGAAAATTGTAACTTGGTGCTTGGTGAAATGTAGTTGCTTCCCGTCAGCTCAGTAACAGACTTGACCACGTTGATATTATTGAAATATTGTAAAATACTGTGCTAGACATTACATTTTGTATACAGCAAATTTTTTCCACCAAAAAATAGTGAATATAGTAAGAAATTATAACGAACGAGATGGCTTAGAAAGTGAAACACATATCCTTTATTGAATTGTAGCAAACTGGCATATGCTCCTCTAGACTAGAAAATCCAAATACTTGAGCATCAGACAAACCACACGATTCACATCACGGGCAAATACTGTTGAATGTGTCAGTCGAGCATTATTACATGTGAAACATGCTAAACCAAATTAAAGCCAAAACATCACAAAGCCAGATGCCACCTCCAGTAACAATGTAGCGAAAATGAAGGCAAAATTGTGATTGGAGTCTTAACAAATGTAATGTAGTTCAGTTCAGCAGAGGGAATCACATCAGTTGCTGTGGACAAAAGCAACTCCCTTATCGATAGAACTTTTCAACTCTGCCTTGAGGGCTTCCAGTCCTTGTTTCTCGTAATCCGACAGAGGACCCAAACCCAAGACCTCCTCTACGCCATTCTTCCCGAGTCTCACCTGTTTCGACAACATATAAAATATTACCCTTTGAACATACTCGGATCTTCACAAGAACAAACAAACGACAGAAGCAAATTGGTATATTTTAACATCATCCAATATCAGCAATGGAAGTGAAATAGAGGGCAGAGACAAAACCGAGGGGTATATTTAAGGATAATTTCATGGAAACTTGGAAGCTCATGTGATTCCAAAGTGATGGCATATCGTGTGTGTTATTAATTGAAGTACAATTTTCAGAAAATAAGAATAGCANAAGTGTTTTAACCAACCTTGGATGCAAAGAAAGGTAGTTCGGTCACAGTGGATTGCACAAAAGAACATTCCACAACATCTGGAACACCATTAAGTCCTTTCAAGCAAGCATCAGCAAACAAGGCCCCAGCATAACTGCACATTAAATAGTAGCAATCAGACAATGCAAACTTCCATAACTTGGAGCACTATTGCAGATAACAATGTAACTCAATATTCTGGAATATAATTCGCCTAAGGTCAGAGGCATCTTTAGTTCATCACTAAGATTTAATCAAATTTCAAAATGTTGGTGAACATCAAATTGCCATATAAAGTTAAGCTGTAAGTAGAAATTCTTTGTCAAATAGATCCAGCAGCTGATTCAGAATGCTAAACATAAACCTATAAAGTTTTCGATAAGTAGCTGGCTAGCTGCAAGATCAATGTAACAATAGATGCTATTCCAAGCTCTAGCTTAGTACAAAAGAGCAAACAGAAAGATCTTGTCTAAATCTTTTGCTCAAGGGAAATATCAACCACAAACTAAAACACAAGAGATGAAACAATATGCAAATCAAGTTGAAGCCATCACTTACGCCATTGAAAGTGTAGCTGAACCCTTTCCAGCCTTAGCTTCAACAACTTCCGTCCCACCATCTTGTGTTCTCTTGGTAAGAGCTATAATTTCGTCATCTGACAGATTTGCCTTTGGTGAGGCCTGTAGACGAAGAATCAACATAAATATCATCTGTCATTACGGCCAAAATCAATTTAGAAAAACAATTGCAGAACCTGTGAAAACAAGGGGAGAATGGTAATTCCAGCATGACCACCAACAACAGGTACATTGACATCTGCAAAGAGAAGCAATTACTAAAGGTGATTTTCGAATCTCAGTCACAAAAATGAAATCATAACCTAAAAGAATGCAAACAATAATCTGCAAGTGAAAACAAAAGAAATACCAGCTACATTCACGTTGGCCTTCCCAGCATAGAAGGTCTTGGCCCTAACAACATCAAGAGTGGTGACACCGAACAGTCTCCGCTCGTCATAAACTCCCTTGCTCTTGAACACCTCAGCAGCAATTGGCACAGTTGAATTCACAGGGTTGCTAATCATATTGACGAGAGCCTAAATTTTGTGACATATCAAAAATCAACTTTTAATGGATTCTTGCTAAAATAGTAAATGTGAATCAACATTCAGTATTAGTAAAAGTAACACTATAAAGATAGATATGCTACATTGGGGCAGTATTTGGCAATGGCCTCGCAGAGACTCTTGACAATGCCGGCATTAATCTTGAAAAGATCATCACGAGTCATGCCTGGCTTTCTGGGCACACCAGCTGGAATGATGACAACATCTGAACCTTCCAAAGCCTGCCCCAGCTGCTCTTCTGATGCATATCCTTTTACCTGCACATACAAACAAAATTATTCAGTTTCATGCATACCATCAGAAATGCAGATGCCACATTGAGAACAAGAGTAAAAGAATATTAATCAAAATATGAAATTCACTAGAAGCAAAACATGTTAAGCAATCATGAGAAATTATCACTCGAAATAAAAGAAATATGATAACAACAGTACTTCAGAGGAACCGAAATGCAATTTCAGTATACATGTGAATGCACTCAGATGTGACTATCAGGTGAACTGTTTTTATTTACCAAGAGAACTAAAATAAACATTAATCAGAATCTGGTAGTTTCCAAGACAACAGCAATTAGACAATGGAAATCCAAAACGAGTATCATCTAAATCTACTATATGACAGTGTAAAGTGGCAAGTTGAGCAACATAACAAATCACAGGAACAAGATCCAACCCTAAAAACCAGTCCTTCAGTGCTCCAAAACCTTTACACATACAAAATCAAAGCCACCAACCAAGTAAACAAAAATGGAGAAATAGTTGAGAATTGTCGGGCCAGGCGTATAAAAAGAAAGCACAGGACCTCAGATCTGGTGTTGATGTGGCTGACGTCAGCAGCGACGCCGGGTGTTCCGGCGATATCGTAGAGAGCTAGGTTCGAGACAAGAGGATTCAACTTCATCAAAAGAGACAGGGGCTGCCCGATCCCGCCGGCGGCCCCCAAAACGGCCACCTTCCGCTCCGGCGCCGAAGCCGAGGAGAAGGCGCGGCCCGACGCTGTGGATGAGGCGGTGCTCCTCAGGAGAACAGATCTCAACATCGCCGCCCTCATTTTTTTTTCACTCCGAAGAATCTGATCTGAAGCTGGACTCTAGACAGAGGAGAAATTTCAGAGGAGATGGTTGAAAATGAGAGTGAAATTAAGAACGAGAAAAGGGAAAGACATATTTATAGTGAGGTTTGTGCTATGTTTTAGGCATCGTTTGCATGATAGGCTGGGATAATGTAAATTATCCCAACTACTCACGTTTACTTTGAAGGATTCGGATGAGATTGATCGCATTGTGGGATTTTTTTATCCCAGCACCAAAATGACCATTTTGTTCAAGAAAATCATGTGAAATGTCTATTATACCATTTCTTTACCCTTCCTAGTTGGGAGAAGTCAAAAGGTACAAAGGGATTATTTGGGATAGTTTCTGCTTTTTAAGTGGAATTTATTATTTATTTTTTTCAAAAGAGGTTGATGAATCGAAATTGTAATTGTTTGCGAATGTCAAACTTGAAGTAGAAGGAAAAAATCTGAGGCATACTTCCCTTGTTGTGAGATGAAGATCTTAAAGCACAAGTTGGTATTTGAAAATTTTAGTTTTATTGCTTTTTTTAATAAATGCCTTGCAAATATTTTTTTGTGGTTAAACAATGATAAACGCATTTACTTGTATGGTGATATTTAGTAAAGTTATAAGACAAAAAGAAGTTTCTGACAAACTTGTTGTATTTGATATTATTTCAACCTAATTATAAAAAGGGTAAAGTAATCATTTTGACAAATATCACAGCTTCCAACTTGGTAAACATAATTAGACATCTAATTAATAAGGTGTTATATATAGTGGCTAGTTATCCTGTTAATTGTTTAACAATGAAGTGGGTCGATCATATGTCTTTTTTGAATAATACGTATCTTATATTATAAAATGTTACTTCTGTTTATAAAAAAATATATGAGGCAGCCTAATGTTTCTGTCGATTTATCGTACTCGAACAAAAATATTACTTATACTATTAAATATCATCTTTGTCATATTTGTGTTTATGATTTTTTGTAAAGTATGACATTTTTTAATGAAAAGTAAGCATATTTGTTAAAGGAATGTCGTCCTAATGATTAAGTCAATCTAACACAACATTTACATCTTTTTAGAGCGCCGTTTTATTTTAAAATTATGCAGATATATATTTAAAAAATATATTAATTTAGTTGCAAGATTGTCTATTCGCGGGCGTGATTGGATATGAGTTATAACCAGTTTTAACCGGTTATGATCGGTTGAGTTATCTACAATTATCTAACTCAAAATTAAACTCAATTCAACTGTCATACTTTTTATTAATATAATTAAATGATACCAATCAGTTATTTTTAACTTTAATTCACTATTTATCCACTCACATAATTAACTATCTGTTACATCAAATAATCTTTCTCCTACTCTTGTATGACATCAACTTTAATCATTACATTTTAAATATTATTTAATTTCAAACTCAAAATCATATACTCAATTTACTTTATTCAAAATAATTCACTTTAACTAAACTAAACATGTCAAAATTGGTTGGATTCATATCCAATTGCGCCCTTACAGTTGCAACCTTACAGTTGTTATTTACAAGTTAATTTTCTTCAATAGATTAGTTCATCTCACCTTATTTTGTGTAAAGGTTGTTTGATGCTTGAATATAGAATCAAGACTTTTTGTTTTTCGTGAAATTGTATTCGTAAGTTCAAACATGATAAACATCTATAATTTTTAGTTTAGTTGTTTCTTATATATATTATTTTTCTCTCATCAAAATTGACCAAGTGGTGTAGCAAGTGACACAATTCACCTATCAATATATCCATTTTTTTTTTCTTTGGTGCTTTATTTACATCATCAACTCCCCTTGAGGACGAAATTCAACGGTCGGTAGAGCGCCTATCCCGAAAAGTGACGTCAAATATGAATGAACATCTTTGTCGAACGTACACGGCACCAGAGGTAGCGAAAGCTCTAAAGGAAATGGCACCTTTCAAATCTCCGGGTCCTGACGGTATGAGTCCTGTGTTCTTTAAAAAATTTTGGAATATTGTGAGTTCTGATGTTATTTCTTATGTTTTAAACTTCTTGAATTCTGGTACATTTGATCGAGCTATGAATTATACTCACATTGTTCTTATTCCTAAGACTCATAGTCCAGAGCTTATCACTCAATTTCGACCTATTTCGCTTTGCAATGTAGTTTATAAGTTATGCTCAAAGGTAATTGCTAATAGATTGAAACTGTTACTCCCTTCCATTATCTCAGAATCTCAGTCTGCTTTCGTACCTGGTCGTCTTATAACAGATAATGTCCTTCTTGCTTATGAAACTCATCATCACATGAAATCTCTTACTCGAGGTCATAGAGGTCTCATGTCTGTTAAATTGGATATGAGTAAAGCCTTTGATAGAATTGAGTGGTGTTTTGTCAAAGCTGAGCTAATTGCTTTAGGGTTTGCTTCCTCTTTTGTTAATCTAATCTATGAATGTATCTCTTTAGTCAGCTTTTCTTTCATCCTTAATGGTGAACAATTTGGTAATCTCACCCCAGGGAGAGGCATAAGGCAAGGCGACCCACTGTCTCCTTACATATTTATTGTTTGTTCGGAGGTTTTTTCTTGTCTCTTACAGGATCTACAGATTTGCAACCGAATTCATGGTATCGGTGTCACTCGTTATGCACCTCGCATTTCTCACCTCTTCTTCGCTGACGACGCCCTACTATTTGGAGAGGCAACAACTCATGAAGCCACGCATTTGAAATGGGCTCTTTCCCTATATGAGCGAGTTTCTGGCCAACAGATAAACTTGGAGAAATCGGGTATCTTATTCAGCCCAAATACTTTACCTTCAGCCCGTGCGGATATATCTAGCATTCTTGGAATCCCCGAGGTCACAGAGCATGGAAAATACCTTGGCTTACCATCTATTGTGAGAAAGAGTAAGAAGGAGGTTTTTTCGAACTTAAAAGATCGTGTTTGGCAGAGGCTACAGTGTTGGAGCTCTAAAGCTTTATCTCGAGCTGGAAAAGCCATTCTTATCAAGTCGGTAATACAAGCCATCCCCTCTTATGCCATGCCGTGTTTTCTTTTGACGGATCAAGTCATCCACGAGCTACAATCTATGACGAGTAACTATTTTTGGGGTGATCACTCTCAACATCGAAAAATTCATTGGGTATCTTGGAATGCTTTGTGCCGGAGCAAACTTGATGGGGGCTTAGGGTTTCGTGATCTCAAAGCTTTTAATATTGCTATGCTTAGCAAGCAGGCTTGGCGGCTTCTTATAAAACCGTCTTCGTTGTTGTCTAGAGTTTTGAAGGCGAAATATTTTCCTAACCGTCAATTTGTGGAGGCCAATCTGGGAAATAGGCCTTCTTGGACATGGCGCAGTATTCTGGAAGGTCGTCAAGTCTTGGACTTGAGATGTCGAAAGCAAATTCGAAATGGGCGTACTACTAGTATCTAGTTTGATAAATGGATAACTTTGGAGCCTAATTTCCGTACATCAACCGCTCCTTCGTCCCTGTCTGAATCTGCTACGGTTGATACCCTTATTGTTGAGCATTCAGGGAAGTGGAATGTACCTTTGGTGCGGTCTATTTTTCCTAACATTGAAGCTGATGCTATTCTCTCCTTAGCTCTGCCACAAAATCATTTTGAAGACAAATGGATCTGGCATTTCTCCAAGAACGGCAAATTTTCTGTTCGTTCTGCATATTTCCAGCTTCTGAATTCTCCTATTTATGCTTCGCACTTAGCTTCGATAACACCTCAACCGTTGGGAGTCCGGGACCGTGTTTGGTGTATGATTTGGAAACTAAAGTTGCCCCATCGAATCCACCTTCTCGTGTGGCGATTGTATCTTAATGTCCTACCAACCCCAGATAATCTAGCTTGTCGGAATGTGACATTCGACGGAACCTGCCCTTTATGCTCATCTGTTGCATCTTCCAGCATGCATACTTTCTTTGACTGTAGCTTTACTCTTCAGGCGTTGCGCATAGCTGGTCTTCTTGTTCTTGTTCGGCAGCTTCAGAAAGAAACATGTGAAACTTGGTGTCGAAATCTTTTGCTTCATATGACGAGTCCGCATATTGAATTTTTGGTTGCAATTTGGGACGGAATTTGGCAAGCCAGAAATGGAGTTATTTTTCAACAGAGAACAGTCAGGCCGTGGAATATTGTGTTAAATGCGAGTCGAACTGTGGCTGAATTTGCATCACATTCTTTAAATCCTGAAATGCCTGATCCCGCTTTGTCCTATCTTCCTACCTCTGTTGTTCCCTCTGACGATGCAACTAGAATTTATTTTGATGGCTCGATATCTCCTAATCGTGTTTGTGGAGGTTCAGGCGTCTTTGCCCGTTCTGCCAATGGGGTGTTTTTACAAGCTCTGTCGCGCCGTTTTGATGGAATTGTTGATGCAGACTTAGCCGAGGCTTTGGCAATGCGGGAGGCGATTCTCTTGGCTCAGAGATTAAATGTTCCGAATGTGGCTGTCATGGAAGATTCTTCCTTGATTGTTCAAGCTTCATTTGGCTTAACTGATGCCCCTTCGAGTTGTTCGCCGGTTATTGATGATATAGTTGCCTGTTTATCTCATTTGCCTTCTGTTAAATTATTTTGGATTCCTCGTTCGGAGAATGTTGTTGCCCATTCTTTAGCTAGACATGCAACTAGTTCATCATCCTCTATCTCTGTATGGAGTGATCCTCCAAACTTTTTATCTCATTTGGTGCTGGACCATTTCCAGTAATTTAATGGTAGTTGTTCTTTCAAAAAAAAAAAAGTCATATATTTTTCTTTTACAATAACAAAGGTCATAAAGGAGATACGATACTCCCCAATACTCCCATGTAAGAAGACCAAATGACGAAATGAACACTGATTGGTCGGAAAAAGTGTGTATATTATATATTTATTAGCGTATTTTTATATGCTTAACTTTGTCGCACTTATATATCTTTTGACTTATTTTTTGTTAGATAGATTCATGTACTTTGATATTTTTATGGTTTATTTTTAAGATATTGGAGTGTTTTCATGGGCGACGTGGCATTGAACGAAATTACACCCAGAGCAGTACGGGGGTACACCATATTCTACTGCTAACAGAGCTAGTACCCCATACCAGCTCAGTTATTGGCCAATTTATGTCATGTGCGAAAATAACCTCAAATCATTCAAATTATGGGCCCATGAGTTAAATAAAGAAAAGATTGGGCTGAGAAAAGACTACACAAAAGACCCAAGGAAACAAATAATTCATAGAGCAAGAGACCTAAGCCACCAAGGATAAGAATTCATACACGCAGGCCCTTATTTATTAATTGGAGTGCCACCAAAATAGCACACCTGGGAGAGGCATTATTTTGGGAGCCGCCACGCAGTCAGAGGAAGACACGCAGAAAACAGAAAAGAAATAGAGCAGCGCAAGAACAAACGGACAGAGGGGAACTCGATCAATTGCGGAGGGAGACCACACCCGTACACGAGGGAGATAATCAATCTCTCTCTTTTATCTTTCTTTTATTTTTATTATGTTAGGCTAGGTTTTTATTCTAGTTCCGGGGAAATCGAACCCTACGATTACTATGTTTTGATCGATTTATATGGTTGAAGATTTTAATATCTTTTTGGAATTGCTTGTGTTATTTTGAATAATTCACCATGATGTGTTAGTCTTGTTTAGATTGATCACCTAGATTAGGCTTTTCATATCTACATATGAATTAGACCTGCAATCCGTAATTGTTGTTGTGTTTAATTCATAAGAGGTAACCGGAAGATGGTAACTACCGGGGATAACACGGCCTATTTAAGTGAGCGAACGCGGTTGAGTTCACTACTTAGTCTAGCCTATTTTTCTAATTCGTAAAGCGGCTAATTGTATTAAATCTTGAAAACGTTTTTCTGGACTGTACAAGAAGTCAGGTTTAATCGTAGAGCGTCTCGCGGTTAAATTAAAATTAAGGAAGAATTCGGGTAACAGACCGTGTCGTTGCCTAGGGCTAGTAATTCCATGAGATAGCGACGAGATTTGATACTATAATTGATTAGACGAGTCAGTTGAGGGTGTAGACGGAACCGTGAACTAGAAGCTTTCTCTTAATTTATTTATTTTTATTTTATTTGTTTAGATTTTATTTATTTTAGTTAGTTTAGTTATCAAATCAAAACCCCCCATTTATCGCTTTGTATAATTTCAATTATTACAAGAAAATTCACAATTTGATTCACACTCCTCGTGGGATCGACCCTTGTTCGCCACTACTGTTAGTTGGTAGAGGTTAGTTAAAGAAAATATAAATTATAATTTTGCCGCGTTGCGACGCGCGGTCAAACACCCACATACAATAATTTTTGTAAAAAAAATAAAAATAAAAAGTCCAGTTCTATACTTTAATGGTTATACAAATTGGGCGTTACTATTTACTGCCCCCTATCACTAGTCACCGCCCCCCTTGGACGATTTTGCCTTTTTTATTTTTTCCAAACATCTCAGAGCAAAGTGTACGAATAAATGTCTTCAAATTCCGAGGTACGAAATTTTTCTGTCCGGTCGGCTGGTTCGGACGGCATAAAAGCCGTTTGAAATCTTGGTCCGGTCAGACGGTCTCTGTCCGAACCGGCCGGCCGGTCGCGACCGGTCCGTCCAGTTTGACCTGCCGGACGTTTTTTTTTTAAATATTATTATAAATTATTATGTTATATATTCAAAATAATTATATTATAAATTGGACGTTAGATATTATCGTGTTAGGAGTTAGAAATTATTATGTTACATGTTAGACTTGATTATGCTATAAATTGGATGTTAGATATTATCGTGTTAGGAGTTAAAAATATTGTGTTACATGTTAGACTTGATTATGCTATAAATTGAACGTTAGATATTACCGTGTTAGGAGTTACAAATTATTATGTTACATGTTAGAGTTGATTATGTTATACATTGGATGTTAGATATTATCGTGTTAGGAGTTGTAAATTATTGTGTTACATGTTAGAGTTGATTATGTTATAAATTGGACGTTAGATGTTATCGTGTTAGGAGTTGCAAATTATTGTGTTACATGTTAGAGTTGATTATGTTATAAATTGGACGTTAGATATTATCATGTTATGAGTTACAAATTATTATGTTACATGTTAGAATTAATTATCTTATACATTAGAATGAATAGATTATAATTTAACATGTTTTAAAAATATAAATATTGTACTATATAGCAGGAGTTATGGGAAGATTTTGGAGGAGATGGTGTTGATTACAGTCTCAGTTTCGATACCCATACATTATTTAACATGTTTTAAAAATATAAATATTGTACTATCTTATATTGAATGGTTTCCTATTAGTAATTTCAAAATACAAAAAGAAAACGGTCAAGCTTTTGAAGTGCCATAGAGGCGAACGCTACAGAGGCAACGACAGAAATTCCAGAAAGACAAAAACGAATAAGTGCAATTGCCCTTTTGAGATAAAAGTAAAAAAAGTGTCAGGCGAGCCATACTGGATGATCTGTAGATATAGCAAGGAAGAGAAGGGCTACCATAACCATTCATCTATTGTGTATCCTGAGGGTCATCGACAGTTGAGCGGCCTCAGCGCTTCATCTAAAACTATTATTCGTGATATGACTGACGCTCAGGTGGCCCCCGACAAAAATTATGCCCCCGCTGAAGGAAAAGAATCCGGGAGACAACCTTGATCGGCGACAAGTATATATATTTATATTTTGTAATATATATTTTAATTAACTTTTTGAAGTTAATTATGATAATTAGTAATTTTTTATATCTAAAAGTTATTGTAATAACTAATAAATTTTATTATATTTAGTAATGTATTATTATTATGATAGTTAATAATTTTTTTATCAAATAAATTAATTAATATACTTTTTTATTTATTAATATAATAATTTTTTTGTTTTAAATTATAATAATCATTATAATTAACGCTAATCGGTGACACGTATATAACTTTAGAGATAAGCTGCGGAAAGAGAGTTTCGAAGGTAGAGACGTTCCTTCCCAGCTTATGCATTTGGCCATGGGAAGCCATTATATAGTTTATGCAGAAGACGATCCGAACACGAAAGCGTTGACGCATATATTTATGGCCCATCCTGCATCGGTCAATCTATTAGATTTGACTCACACTACATTCGTTTAGATTTGACTCCTGATTGTCCATTACCGCCTATTCATAGCATGTGGTTTACTCACCGAGATGAATCGGTTGTGGGTTGGGAGGATCAGTACTAGACTAGATTGCGATTGTGGTTTACTGTTCAAACTAGACCTTATTGAATAACAGAACGATATTTTTCGGTTCAACAAAACAACCATATTATTCAGTTGTGGTATGACGCTTCTCATTCAACTTAAGTTTAACAAAAAAAAAAAAAAAAAAAAAAAAAATCATTCAACTTAATGATTTACAATAAGAAAAAAAAAAAAACTCATTCAACTTAAGTTTAGCAAATAAAAAAACATTAATTTGAATGGTTTACGTACTAAAAATGAAAAAAAAAAAGTACCATTAATGCGATTTCGATTGCTCTGTACACGAACGTATGTTCCCACGCTTCGAGACAGGCTCGTTCTCCTGAGTCGACCCATCGGGACTCTCAGGAGAACGAGCCTATCTCGAAGCGTAAGAACATACGATCATGTTACAGAGCAATCGAAAATCGCATTAATGGTACTTTTTTTTTTCATTTTTAATATAAACCATTCAACTTAATGTTTTACAATAATAATAAAAAAAAACATTCATTACATCATTATTGGGTATTGTCGTAATCCAACTTAAAATTAGACAATTCTTCTTCGACTTACGCCGTCACCGGACATTCACATCCCTGCTGCCAAATCGATGTAATGTTAAAAAGACGGTCCACCCACTAAAAAAATGGAAGAATAAAAAGATATGACTAAAATTTATTAAAAAAAAAATATTGTAATGAAATAACATTAATTAAAATTTAGTCAACGACTTACATAGGCAGTATTGGCACGCGTAGGGACCTCGTTCTCGTCCGGCAGCTCCTCGCCCATGACAGTCGGATGGGAAACCCGACCGTACCACAGCAAGTAGTCCTCAGCCGCCTCCTCGCGATCATGTGTCGTGTGGGTGAACATACTGGTGTTGCAACTGTGCGAAAACGGGAACTGGGTCCAGGCACTTACTGCACCAGCTTCAGAATGCTCAACCCTGTAGTTCCTAGACTCCCAAGCACGTATTGCACTGATTGACGGGTATATAGGGGGAGGGACAGTCTGGACATACCCAACTGACGCAGAAACCGCACAGGCAAGTACGACTCGACAATATCGCGGTATCGAATCAATCCGCAATAAAGAGTCCTCGGCTCTATTGCATCTGGGTTGGAGCTGTCGTATGGCAACCATTGCACCTGTTCACAATTGCATAAAAGTATTTATAAAAATAATTATATTATTTTAAATAACGGGCAATTAAATTTAAATAAAATAACTTAACGTACTGTTGATGTCGAAAATCGGATGATCAACGGTTAAATAATAGTCAAATTTTGTGTAGGAAAAATGAAGAAATCTAATGATAAAAATGTATGTTTACTCTTTTATTTCTTAGAGAGAGAGAGAGAGAGTTGGGAGGAGAAAAAAATGAAAAAATCCCCCTTTTCTCTCTCATTTACACATATTTATATCCCATTATTTTCTAAGTGGGTGATTTTAATGACTAGAGATAATACATAATTT